TGTGATCTGACTTTTGATAACCCCAGGAAACAGTTGAAATCATGGGCGCAGAAGACGCTGCAAGGCCCTGGTGAAAGATGGCGCTGACGCGGGGCCGCCAAGTGGCAAGTCCCACATCCGTTTTGGTGGTTTCCGGGGGTGATCAAAGTGATGGTTGACTTTGAGGGGCTAGTTGAAATGGTGTTCCTGTACGATTTGGAGGTTACAGCAAGTGCAGGGATTGCATGGGGGGTTGAGTTTGGCGGTTCATATTACTTGCTTGCCAACGGCGATGCCAAGGACCACTTTTTTTTTTGCCAGCATTGCTTCGCTTTCTCACTCTGGTGACCTACATCAGGGGCTTTTCATCAAACCCCTCAGGTCGGCTTCCACGGAAGGAGCCCTTGTGAGATCCAGTCGTTTTGTGCCACCAAATCCACGAGCCCCCAACAAAGAGACAAGGCGACCTCACCCATGAGGCTTCCTCAGGTCACCAATATCTATGGGCACTTTCCAGATTCGAAGGAAAGCCAAACGACCGCCGGCTACCAGTTTTCTTGGTTGGGGAGCTTTCTTTTTGGGGACCCATTTTTGGGGTTCCACGGTTTGGGGGGAAGTCGGAGAGGTGAATTATGATTCACTCAGACTCATTCAGGTTGTGTTTCTTTTGAGGTCATTCGAAAAGCAACTTATAGAAAAGCCAAAGCCTATTTTAGGGATTCCCATCAGCCATATTCTGCCATTCATCAATTTTACCGTAGCGGAATCTGCATTTGGGAAGGCACCCATTTGTTCCCCGGTTCCATGTTATTATGCAGGAGAGCAATTGCCTTTCAAGACAGGCACAATGCAGAATGTGAGCATGGTGTGTCTTTGTTCAGTGCACAGTGTGCCGGGTCGTTTGAAAGGACATGTTTTCCTCAACCTGCTGGATTAGGGACTGTTTCCCCCAGGATCCCCAGACAGCGCCCAAGTTCGATCGGGGTCAGATTCTGCGGGTCAGATTCTGCGCGTCTTCTTTCCGGACACTGCTTCTCTTTCATGCCCCCATCCTTTTGGAAACAAACGGATTTTCCATTAAGCCCATTGAAGGCAACCTTGGTTCCAAGACCTTTTTCAAAAACCCCTTCCTTTCGGACACAAATGGGTTTTCCATTAAACCCGTTGAAGGTAACCCTTCCATTGTTTCCAACACCATTTTATTCAAGCCCCATTTGGGCACTACGGCACAAATGGTTATCTTCCTCAACCCAAGCTGATCCACCTCAGAGACTCAGAGACGCATTCGAAGGGGTTCAAGCTCGAGGCCTATGCAGCCAAACAGCCGCACGTGGAGTTGGTGGTCAGAGCCTTAGGGGCCGAGCTTGGATTCACATGCGGTGAGGGTGCCCGTTTCACCTTTAGCCACCAGAAAAGCATTGTTTTCCTTTTGGGGAGGGAGTCCCCATTTTCCGGATTCTCGTTTGGCCTTTGGTCTTTCTGGAATTTGGAATCCCTTGGGAAGGCTTGTGCTTGGCTGATCTTGAGGTGGACCTTTGGTCAAACCAACTTTAATCAACAAAGTTTGCCCGCCCCGACATCTCAACTTAAGCGAAACACCAAGCTGATACGGGGCATGTTCTTTTCAGGTAACCCCATTTTTTGGGTTGGCTTTAATGGGAAACCAAAGTGACCACCAGCAGTTTGAGGCCTTTTACCTTCCAATTGACCATTGTTTGTTGAACACATCGAATGATGCCAACCAACCAGCAACAAAAGCGTGTTTGCATGGAGGAGTCAAAGACAGACCCGTGCCGGCTGTTTACACAAATGATGCGGATTATTGTTTTACATTTTACACAGTTTATGCGTGACTGTAGAACAACATGTCTAATTCCTAGGTTCAGGCCTCAACATTGACCAAGCATATTTTGGAAATTGTTCTTTGTTGTCTTTTTTGGCTTTGGGATTTACGGTTCCGAGGGTTTAGGGCTTGGAGTGTGCTGAACTGGAGAACTCCTTTTGGTTGCTGTTCAAAGTCAAGCCAACAGGCGCCATTGTGCATGAAGGTTGCACTCTATGTCTGGCTCACATGGTTGAATTAAGTCTCAACAAGCCGAATCCATATGACACTTCCCTTTTGGGCCAGCCTAAACATCGCCCGTTTGGCCATTTGTAAGTATATGCAGCCTTCAAGAAAGAGATGAACAAATATCAAACAAACAACCAAACGATGTCCCTTTGGGCGGGTTGTCACAGCGACATGCGAAAAACCAATCTTGCATCAGTCTTTTCGGTCAACTAGGAGCGCATCCGGAAGCGCGACGCGGGCAAGGTGCCCAAGGCCGGAGTTAGTTCCAGAGATTCCCCAGGGTCCTTAAAAGATACATTTTGCAACCATTTGAAACATGTTGCTTTCTGCAGGAAAATAAAGGGAAGCCACCATTTACAAGGCAATGTTCAGGTGTATAATGTAAGGATCCCTGTTCCCTGATGAATCTGGAGCCCGAGTTGACACTGGTTGGCCGAACTTGGAGCGAGCCGTCGGCTCGGGCAGATGATCGAGACTCAGTTCAGAGCCCATGCAGTCACCCCATGGTGAGGGACAAACTAGACATGCGAAGCATGAGATTTTGAGGGTCTATCACAGGAGTCTATTTTTAACAAACCGCCATTCTGGGTTCCGTGTCAATTTGCAGACCCCTCAGAATCCATTCTTAGGCCAGATCGTTTTGGTTAAGGGCGACAAGCCAGTGATTTGAGCTACTCCTTTACCGAGCCTGCCTTGACAATTTGTGCTGGCTCAATCAGATGCGTCAACAAACCCTTGAGCCCCACATCCGGTTTGATTGATCGCATGCTTCCTGCTGGATCCTGCTGGGGTCCTGAAAGTAGTTGCACTTTCAGGGGTCCTCAAAATCACTTCTGGGGGGTGGCCTCGCTTGAAACCACCATTTATTGCAGATGGCATCATTGAGAATGTCACTTAAAAGGACCGAGTACTCCCAAACACCTAGAAAACCGACAGCGGCAGCGTGTGGCACGCGTCACCCAGAGGTATGTATGTTGTGAGTTATGAGCGACTGTCTTTATTTACACAAGGCTACAGCAAAGGCCAGGCGGAAACTTCAGCGGGCTCACTCGTAAGAGACACGCAATGATAAACTTTTGCTTAAAGGACCCAGCAAGCTGCTTCTTGGGTCTTGCCTACTGTTCTCGCTCGACCGCGCACATCTATCCGGGTCGAGGCCTCAACACTGGAAGCGAATGCAATGACTCATCCCAATTTCCCTCAATCGGGGGGCGGGTCCACATGCATGGGGGCGGGGGGGATGAAATTGTGTACATATCCCATGGTTTTCCTTGGTGGGAAACAGGAAACTCATGCGTGACCTGTTTGGGCCCTCATGACTTCCAGATAGGGGCATGCGAGGCCCAGCACTTCAGGTGCACAGAGAAATGTTGAAGCTGAAGCTTTTGCGGATTCAGCAGTGAGGCCTATGAGTTGTTTTTCAGGGTACCCAATTTAGGTTGCTTGAAGGGGAAAACAAAATGACAGCCCCGCCTTTAGAGTTCCCCCCATTTTGACATATACATATACACCCATACCATACGTCTTTTACGTTTTGCCAGGTGGGCGAGCGCGTGCCATACGTGTACATAGCGCAGGCGTGGCGGGACCGAGCAACGGCCAAACAAGTCATTTCACATGCGACGGCATCGGGATTACCCTCCCACATTCCAGGTGCCATGTTAGTATGTGGTTTCGATGAGTGACTTTGAAATGACTTTGGAAATTGAGCCCTTGATCAGCTGTTTTTTTGAAGCGACAAGCTGCGCCCGCCGGCAAGTGGAGTGCCGCTTCCCTAGTCGGAGTCCCTCGGGTTTTCGTTTTTGGTTACCATGCCCCACGTGCGAGGCTGGCAAGGCCGCCTACGAAAAGTCGGAAGACCCACTTTACGCTCTGGAGGCCGTGGTATCGTCGGAAAGTCGGACAGTTTTTCGGTGGTGTGGTGGGCGCCGGGCATGAGGCGAGATCTTGGCCCCTGCCGCTTTGTTTGGCCAAGATCTTCGTAGCAAAGTAATGGTCCTTGGAGAGGAGTAAGCTCATCTCGGTACGCAAGTTGTCAGCAGCTGGGTTTTGTTGTGAGGCGCTGTTGTTCTGCTGTGGACTTGCTCGACAGCAACCTGGCTCAAGAATTGAACTGGTACCGAACCGACTCCTTAACATGTCGCTGGTCTGGTGGGCATTGACAGTCCCTGTGGTGTTGGCAGCAGTGCCACTTGGCAGCACCAAGCACGAACCCAAGGTGTTATGTTGCACAAAACTTGGCCTTATTCCATGCAGACTGTCCCAGAAAGCTGGAGTTGCGCAGTCAACTCTGTCACTAGTCTTGAAAGAGCCCCACAACAGAAAGCTGCAAGTGGCTGCCAGCTTGCAAGCCAACCTGCTGTTTGCCGTGCCGGCGTGTAGCCCATGAGTGCCAACCACAAAACAAAGGTGCGAATATCGTCCTTTTGAATCGTTTGGACATGGTGTTGGCTAGAGCCCTTTTACAGGTCCTGATATGATTTGATTTTGCGTGACGCTCATCTCAGACTATTTTCCCGGCGGCCGTTGTTTTTCACTCGGATGTTATCGCCGCCCATTGGCCATTTGTGACTAAGGCCCACCTTCCATGTCAATCTGGACCTTCCGCCCGAGCAGCGATACAAGGAAATCTCGGAATACTATTCCGAGGACCGTGGGCGAGCGACACTTTTTGGTGTTCCCACTTGAGCCACTTGCTCAAAACCTGGGTAGATGAAGGTTACTAAGGGACAATCCCAGCCATAAATAGCTGCGGCCGCCTTTGTATTTCCTTACATTGTTCTGGGTCAACCATTTTAATACAGGTTTTGATTGTGGCTCACTTTGTTCCCAGCATTTCGTCCTTCCAAACGGCTTTTTCTGCGGGACCCAGTTCTCGTTTCAGGCTTTGGACCCCGATGTGGTGACTCACTGGTTGCCCTCCGGCCTGCGTCGACAGGAGATCCGCGCGATGATCCAGCAGTTTCGCGGGACCTTGGAGAGCAAATTCTCCCCCGAGGAGCAGGCGCCTTGGGAGAAATATCTTCCCTCCCTCCCTCACCCCGCAGAAAGGTTACCCTTTGCCAAGCTCCAACCTGTTTTGACCCCAAGGCCAAGAGTAGGCAGCATTTCAAAGACAACCAGAAAAGGCGGGGGCCAAGGCATCCACAAAAACGACGGCTTCAAGACTGGGCCCAACAATTGTCCCATGTTTTTCATGGGAGCATTCGGATTTTCGACCATGGCTTGAAAGGGTGTGTGCCCTTACGGGGCGGGTGACTACCTTGCTGGACTTTAGACCGTCTTGGGAAGACCCTAACGCAAAGAACCAAGTGAGCTTAGTTGGCCAAATCCGACCTCTGGACCGAGTTGGTCTATTTTTGGTGGCCTTGCCCCCTAAAAAACAAAAAACAACCACAACCGGTTGTTTCCAGGTCCCTTGGGCAGAGAGTTCACCACCCGCGGCTTCCGCGCAGGCGGAGTGGCTCCAGGTGGGCGCAGCCCACGGCGCCCTGGGCGGGATAATTTTTCGGGGCATTTTTTTCTCACAGGAGAAGGGAAAGGAGCAAGCAAAGCAACCACAAAAGCCTAGGTCTTCCATTTGGGCACTTTTAGGGGTTTTGGGCATTATTTTTGCTCGTTCCAGATGAGGAACAAGCAAGGGTCAAGGAAGAAGCACGCAAGAAACAAAGACGCCAAGCAAACACAAACACGAGGCAAGCACAGAAATCAAGCCTTGCGAATTCATCATCAATGTCTTCCATTGGTATCACAGTGGGCAATTCTCACCCTCTCCAAACACGACCTGAAGGCTCAATGTGTCAATGTGGCTTCCGAGCCTCGAAGCTATGCCCGCCTTGTCAGGAAACTCGGGAGAACCGAATGGATCCAAGTAGTGGATGCTGTGTGCTGATGTGAAGATTTAGATTTCACCGCCGTGAAAGGGCGCTGTTGGCGGGGAGACCCGTTCAAGGCTGCATTTCCTGGTTCTGGTCAGCTAGTGGCTAGCGGCAATACGCAAGCGGCGGGACTTCATACAATCTTTGTTTGGCTTCTCACCTCCTTTTGGTTGCCTTTTTCGGTGAGTTTTCTTTTGGTGCGATGTTGAAAGGGGAATCTGAGCAGCCCGGATGTTCTTCTGGTGACTGAACCGTTTGGATTGAAATCACAACCGCAAAAAGGGGCCCTCAAGTTGGGGCGTGTGAAAGACTGACGTCCCTGGGTAGCCTGCGATGCAGATATTGAGTGGTATGGGCTCAAGACTCAGATATCAAGGGAGCTGAGGACATGCCTGCGTTCCTGTGTGTGTGTGTGTGTCCCTTTCAAGCTGCCACCAGGATCCCAGTTTTGACACTTCAGACTGGCAGCTCCTCAGCCCACCCACCCAACCAACCAACCAACCAACCAACCAGCCACTCACCCACCCAATCAGCCAGCCAACCAACCAATCCGTTGCTCGAGGCTCCTGTGTGCAAAACACATATCGAGTGAGAACGCCCCTAGCACGGGCATGACTGGAGCACTCGGGAACGAGCACGACATCTCAAACAGCACAGTTCCACAACTTTGCATGGCACTGGCAGGGTCACGAGCTACACATTCAGAGGGTTTTGTGCTGAGTTTCTGATTGCAGAGCAGTGATGCTGGCTTGATCCCTTTTTTGTGGTTTCCCAGATTAGAAACTTGAGAACCCAAACAGCTTCAATGCCCGAGCGAATATCGCGGCAGACCAGCCACAGCGTGGCACCTGAGGCACCTGAGGCGCACAAACTGCTTCTATTGAGAGACCTGAGTAATCAGCGGCCAGGGCCCACACTTGGAGCTATCCATTCGAAATGAATCAGCACATCTGCATGGCAACACAACAGGTGAGCGGTAAAAACATGACATATGGCGAGCCAGCGAGCTTGCACGTGGTCGTTGCCGCGGACCAACCAAGCTTCCAACACAGCGTAAACCTTCTTCCCCCCCCGCCCGCCCCCCGGCAACCCACCCCCCTCCTCCCCTAAGCTTTTGCGACGTGGACACCAAGAAACTGTGCAATTTGTTTGGTTTTACACTGGGGGCTGTGGGCACAACGTTATGGAAGCCCGACGCCCAGTGTTTTTGCAATGTCTTTATGAGGAAAGGGCTCTTTTTTGGGTTGAGTAATTGCTGGGTGCGATTGTTGCATTTCTCACGCGATTTACTTGCCTCCAAGCCTCGCATGGACACCGAAGCATTTCAGTTTGGTTCCATATGCATGGGTGATTTCAACCGTTGTTACAAGTACCCTTTTCCGGTTGAAAAGGTAAACCGAAAGAACACACACACACATACCATTGTGTGTGTGTGTCTGTTTTTCTTTTGGGCGGGGGTTCCCAAGTCCCTATTCTGACACACCCCAGTTTGAGAAAAGCTGCTAGGCACCGAGTTTCTCGCAGAGCTCCGTGGCGTTGCGCAGGCGGGGAGGGCCGATGCTTGCAGATACCATTAGTCGGTAGCCAGGAGAAAGCTAAGAATGTGGAACCTAGAGCTAAACATACCGAGGTACCTATGGCAACTGGCAGAGGAAAGCAGAATGTAAAACCTAGAGGTGAAAATGCAGATGACCTACTATAGAGGTAGCTGGAAGCACTGGGAAAGGATTGAAGGGGCTACCAAAAAGGTATATGACAAGTGTCTATCTACGAGGTTTAAAGGGGGTCCACACAGTCGCACTCCTCGCACTCCTCGTGAGCCTGAACGGAGGCCGCAAGACCGATTTCCTCTTGGCACCTGCTGGGTCCCATGTTCGGAGGGAATTAAACGGGAGCCCAACTCATTTGGCGGTATCTTCTTTTGAGGGTATCTTTTTTTCGTGGTAAAGGGAAGCCAAAAGGAAAGCCACCATATTGGGTGTCCCCAAGAAGACACTGCAAAATAGGGCGGACGTATCCGCAGTTCTGCTTGGGACTGTCCGACAAAGCTTCATGTACCTGGTTTGATTGTGGCACCAGTGGTTGGTTTCAAAGGAAGTGTCAGAAGGCCAGATGTTCAGAAGTCCGGTAGGATGCGGATTGTAAAACTTGGAGCTAGGGGGTTTGTCTCCAAGGGTCTGGCTTCACCCAAGTAGAGGTTTGCTCATGTCCGTTGTCTTGATTTTGTGTTCACCTGTTCCCAGCTGCGGGTGGCACTCAGATTCAGCAGTTTCAAACATCCAGCCGCCCGTTTCAGCCTTGTTGGGGCCGTATGCGGTGGTGTGACGGCATTCTCAAGCACCTGAGGTGTCTTCTGGGTGCTCCCGTGGAAACAAGAGCCTCCTCTAAAAGGAGATTCCTCAGATATCTTGGTGTCTTGGGGCTTCACTGGAGAGTGCAAGGCAGGAAAGTCGCGAGCTTCAGGATTCCTTACTTCCTTTGTGATTCTGTGCTGCGGGTTTGTCAACAGCCCGCAGCGAACACACTCTGAAAACCAAGTTTTGAGTTGCACCACGCTCCAAAGAAACCAGTGTGGAATTGTCCTGCACACATGTGACTGTACTTAGAGGAATGGTGATCTGAGATGTCGTAGGATGCGCAGCATTGCCCCACTGCCAACATTTTGTACCTCATCTAGCGCAGGTTTTCGACTGACTTTACTCCTGAAGGTCATGAAGATCCCTTACTTGCCATCGGATGTATCATATCCCGCCTAGATCAAAATTGGGACTAGATTCAACGGCGCCAGGTTCCAGACGCCTTGAGCAGTCTCTAGGAGCAGAACTTTTCCTGAAATGTGTTCTTTCTGATCGATCTTTGAGGCATTGAGGCATGTGATGTAGCAGAAGAAGAGAGTAGCTAAGTACTCAGTTTGGATCGTCCGCGCCCGGGGGCGGGGGGGGGGGGGAAGGGGGAAGGGGGGGAAGGGGGGGAAGGGGGGGAAGGGGGGGAAGGGGTTAAGAAGTTTTGGGCCCCTGGCGGCTCCTGGGGTTAGAAACACGTTTCGCATGTCCGTGTTATCTTCCCGTCCAATTGTAGAGGCTGACACACCACGCCCTTTGCATGCCCATGTGCAGCCGACGTTTGCGATATACAATTTTGACAATTGTCTCACTTCGCCCACCTCTGTCTCGCTTGAGAAGGGGGCAGACACGGGTGCATCTCTTTTGAGGATGCCGTGTTTGTGGGCTGTTTGAAGGGCAATCGAATGGACATCTACAAAACATTTAGCCGCACACCCCCGCTTACCGTCTGTTCAGCGATCCTGCCAAGCGAACGGTTGGAATTACGCCTTATAAATTTGAAATACACTCACACAAACAAACGCTCCGCGCGCTTCACCCGTTTACTGGCGACTTGATTCGCTTGCCTCGTTTGCTCTTTCAGGCCGTGAACATGACGAACGACATGAACTTGTTTGTACTCTTCAACATGCTGTACGAGCATCTTGCAAGCAAAGCAGGCAAAGTGAGGGCAAATTGATTCTAGCGATGCATAGATTCTCCCTTTTGGGATCCAACATCCACTCTGACTCTGGCGGACTCACTCGGGGAACTCATTCGCACTGGCCGCTCTTAGCCTTGATGATGCTTCTTCAGGTGTCCTTGTTCGGTCAGTGCGCTTCATTTTTTCTCGGCGCCCAGTGCTGAGGACCCCCTGCTCTCTCCCCTCCAGTGGGGTGTGTCTTTTTTGAGGGGACCCTCGAAACTGGGGGTTTTCCTTTTGGTGTCCACTTAAAGCCAGCGAAAAAGGGGGTGCCCTCAAAAAAAGACGCGCCCGGTAGTCCATGGCCCGTCTGATTCCGTCCAAACCCAGGACCCTCCCTCCAGGACGACCGAAGCCCATGGAGGGAGCTTCCCCAAAAAACCCACAGGAACCCTCAGGATTGGTGGACCATCTTCGTTTCAGAGCATGTGTTTTTTTGGCTTTACAACACAACACGGCTTCTGACATGCCTGTGACATATGATTCCAGCAAACCAACACGTAGGCATTCTTGTTCTCTGAAGCTCGGGGTGCATCCTAGTGTTTGCCCAATGATATGCACACATTAAGCAACTGCTTTAAACAAATGGTGCTGATGGCTGGCCAGGATACAGAAGCTCCGCGCCTCACTTTCCTCGAGCAAGGTGTCAACTAGCTTAGTGATAGTGTAGCAAGTTCTCACCATGGTGATTCAAAGAGTTCATGCGATACACAGTCAGCGTGTTGAAACAAGCTCCTGCTTAGAACAGGACACAGTTGCATAGTGACTTGAACATACTGTTGAGCTGGTCATTTACGTGATTGATCACTTTATGGCGGTAGTTTCTTGCAACTTCTACTCCCATCGCGCTATATGTTCATGCACGAACAGGCAGCTCGCGCGCAACATGGCTATGGCACCCTAGCCTCCCTGCAGATAAGACCTTGTCGCTGCTACATGTGTTCGCTCTACATGTGCTGTTGGAGCTGAACCTGATAGAGCAGCAACTACTTCTGGCGCTAGCTCAAGAACTTGGGTGAAGAGTGCTAGCTTGCAACTCAAGTAAGGAGCAAGCTAACGCCACAACGTAGCAGAAGATGCTTGCCATTATGGATTTGTTTATATAAATATCCAAGTAGTAAACCCTGCTAAGGAAAAATCTGAGGACATGTCTAACGTCAATCAAGCATATACAGCTTCACGAGGGCTGAATTGATAAATAATAACTTGTACTTTGTTGAGGCAACCTCGCAGCACTCTGGGCCTGCCACACGGATGTGACCTGCTGCCAGATTTTTTGAGGACACATGCGGAATTCAGATAAGGCTTTACACGGGCTTTTTGAGGATACATCGAGGCCTGCATCAAAGTTATGGTTGCTCAATAGTCTTTCCCGAGAACGCGCCTTTGTAGTTCTTATTCCTTCTTCTATAGTTTGATCCAATGTTAACATTAGCACAAGAGGCTTGCCACTATGTAGCTACTCATGTAAATGCTCAAGCAGCAATGTCTATAGTGTCCATTGAGCTCAGTGGCACAATTCCGCATTTCCTGCTTTTTCCAAGCACTGCAAAGGGGCCAAACGCGTGGGCCTTTGTGGTTAAAATCATGGAAAAGAGGGTAAGAGAATGAACGGTCACCCTCTTTCCCTTTCCTACGTCTGGGATAGCGGTTACCTTTCATTTTCCTTTCGTACACCATCAATCTCAGAGATCTATTGCAGAGAGGACTTGACCACATACCCGCGCTTCAAGGTAGGATGATAAAGGGTGAACGGAAGAGAGGTCAAGAAGCACTCACCTCCATAATATAGAAACTACGTGATTGAGAGGTCAGTGGAGATGATTTTCTCCCTTTGCGGTTCTTTGTGGATTCGTGCATCTATTAAACACAAACTAAGGTTGGAGTCCCCCACGATGTGCTCTGGCTTCCTTGCCGCGGACTCCAATGGCAAGGCGGGCGATGGATGCTGTCCAAAATGGCAGGGAGGACATGAATCCCAAGGTCACTTGCCCAGTGGCGCCCCTTTTTCTTGTCGGGGAAAGGGTTTCCCTTAAAATCAACCAACAAAAAAGGTGCCCTTTCTTCCCCTTGGAAATCCACTGGGCTTCTGAGCATGTAGTTGGTCATCGAAGGGGTCCCCAAGCAAAAAGCGATAAAAAGCGTATCCACGTGAGCCCGACGAGTTTGCACGGTCGAGCTGGGCTTCCTCTTTGAGTCTGAGGCACGGACAATACCCAGATGGAAATGGAAAACAGGACCATTTTGTTTTGAGGAATATGCTTTAGGGGTGCCTCATGTTTGCCATGTGAAGTTGCAGGGGAGTGGTACCATCCCGCGAAAGTGTTTCTGAAGGCTCGCTGCCACCATCCCCCAACAAATGGTGAAACAAAGGAGAGGGAGCCTAAATGACCTGATTTGGGCGCTATTGGAAAGTAGGGAACCCATTGGACCGGCGGGGGATAGAAAGTTACCGTTTCCACAAACATCTACGGCTTCTTAGCCAAGTTTCCTCCGTGCCTGCGGAGGTGGTTCATGGCCGGAACATGGACTACCAGTTCTTGCGCTTTAGCCGGCATGCCAAACATGGGGTGCAACAGGACACCCTGGCACAGATGCAACCAGTTTGATACTTTCTAGAGCCGTTTTCTTCTTAGTCTCGCTTTCTTTTGAAGGTTCGATGTTGCATGCCTCGCATCATAGAAGCCTCGTCTATTGGTGCTGTGGGCCAATAGGTCGCGGGCCAAAAACAAGTGGGATCTTAAAATGAGGGAGCCCTCAAAATGGTTGGTTTCCTTTGCCCTTTAGAGCCAACCGATCCTTGGTCCTTACCTTGGGTTATTGAAATGGGTCCCCTTTGCAGTGGCTTTCCAATTGGGATTGGCGAACACCCCATCTTGAACAAAGGGCTCCGCCATACAGAGACACTCGCACAGATCTTCTAAACCAAGGCTGTGTTTGTGAGTGTGTGTGTGTGTGGGTGTCTTTTTTTAGTGTACCCTTTTTGGGGCGCTTGTAAAGGGAACGCACAGGGAAACCGCCATTTTTCAGGTTTACCCATATGAAGACGCGCCCGATCAATGTGCTTGTCGTTTTGGGGCTTGGGGCGAGGAGGCGAGCCACCCCTCTTCAACCCACGGCGTACCGGTTAAACTGTCACTCATCCGTTGGCTTATTGGGGTACGTGGCGTCTCAAAGTCTGGGACCCCCACAGGTAGTTGTCACCCCTGATTGGTAAGGGGGGCCCCATTCCCCCTTTAAGGTTGACAAGGTTTGGACAAGCCCCAGAACACATATTATTTTGTTGAAGGACCTCCCAGATTAATTTGGAGCCCCTTCGGTCCTCGTCCTTTCACTTCTGGCCCCCTTCCCAGCCAATGAACTGAACTACTTTGCCTGTGAAGTCTGCTTAGATTTTGGGGCGACCTGAGTGGTTCTACCGACCCCACAGCCTTTGAAGAGGGTCGCCAAAAAGGGTCACTGTTTTTGCCCATTGTGTTGAGTTTGAGACAGCAGCAAGGTTCATTCACAGAACCCGAGATTTCGTATCGATGAAATGCAAGGGAAGGCCCCCTTTGGGACGTTTGGCTCGGCAATGTTTTTTTGGTCCAACCCCACATCCTCCAAATCCAGCCCAGGCCTTTGAGGGAACTAATTGTAAACGCTTCGCGTTGCCCGCCTCGGCCAGTCCGCTTTTGGCTGGCTTTGATGCATATACTGTGCTTCAGTTTGCCTTGAAGTGATGTTATTAAAGTGAGTGACTCGGCGCCGAAATGCGTGAGCTGGTTTCCAAGCTAGCGGGTGGGCGCATGTCCGCACGATTCCACCTGGCTTCAAAGGGCCAGACCGAGAGCCGCAGAGAGCTACAGAATGGTTGGCCAAGCGCAGGTCCAAATTTCTAGGGTATTGGACGGTTTTTTTGATTTTGACTTTTTCTAGGGGGATTTGACGGGAGTTGGACCTGTTTTCAGAGGGGATTTGACAGGCTTCTAGAAACGAATTCGGCTGGTTTCTACGGTTTTTAGGGGGGTGAATTGGCCGGTTTCTAGGCGGATTTGACCGGAGTGGTGGAGGGGAGGAAGTTGACCGGTTTCCAGCGAGATTTGACCGGAGCTAGATGGGAAGTTGGCCGGCTTCCATCGGCTTGTAGAAGGGGATTTGACCAGCTTCTACGCGATCTGACCTCCCGGCCCTGGAGGCCGGCTGCTTCCAGGCTCACTTCAGGCGGACTGGAGGCAGCTGGAGCAGGGATTGGGTTTAGAAGATCCTGAAACGGGTCTGACTTCGCGGCCCTGGGGGCCGAGGCGGATTCTCTGAATATTGCAAGTCAACCAACCGCACATAGAACGATTCGCAGACGTTTTGCGTGTTTTCTGCTGTTTTACGCCGGGATACCAGCCCCTAGACCTTTGAAAACGTAGAGGAGCCAAGGAGGTAGTGGTTTGCTAGTTCAAGCTCGGCCATAGACCAGAGACAGGCGATAGGCCCAACCGTGATTAGGTGCGCCTTTCTACTTTGAGGAAGACTCCTTTAGTCAGGATTGTGAGTTTTGATGGTGACCCAGAATGTGGCTATCGGACTTTGGCATTTGTGCTCCGGAATATTAATGAAGAACGAACAAATTCAACTCAACCGCCGCCGCCGCCGCCGCCACCACTGCTGTTGCAGCTGCTGCTGCTGCTGCTGCTGCTGCTGCTGCTGCTGCTGCTGCTGCTGCTGCTGCTGCTGCTGCTGCTGCTGCTTTCATCCTTGTCATTATTGACCTTGCCGTCATTGTCACTGTGGTCGTTGCTGAAAGGTTGAAGATGCCAACCGCTTGTGATACTGGCACAGATCTGGTCCCTGAGGGTGGCACTGGGGTAGGGCTGCTGAAGAACAGCGCTTTCGCAAGGTTCACAATGCCGGATGGATCGACGAAAGATTGGCCCGACGTCACCTACGAGGCCCGCACGCCCTCGCTTCAGCTGAATGCCCGTCAAGGAGCCAAGGATCCAAAGGCTAGGTTTTGGGGGTCCATCCCTGGATCCGCGAATAAGACTTCTGCACTTTTGCACGCTCGAACATGTTCCTTGCTTGCTGCCTTGCTGCCTTGCTGCCTTGCTGCCTTGCTGCCTTGCTGCCTTGCTGCCTTGCTTCCTTGTGCTTGCTTGCTTGCTTGCTTGCTTGCTTGCTTGCTTGCTTGCTTGCTTGCTTGCTTGCTTGCTTGCTTGCTTGCTTGCTTCCTTCCTTCCCACGTTTCTGTTGCCCTGCAGGGCATCTTTTGGAAGGGTGGCAAGAAGCTCTTTACCAACATCAATTGGCCTCTTTGGATTGGCGCAGCGCTCAGCTCCGGTGTTTTTGCTGGGCCAAATAAATGCTCGTGGCGAAGCAAGAGGCGAACCGCCCATTTCGAGGCTTCTCTCATATTTGGAGACAGCCAAATGTTCATTTGCAAAGATAGAAGGACTGGGAACAAGACAAGTCTGATTGTTATTTTCGGCAGCTTGCGCCTAGTCAGATATTCCATGCTCCCTTTGGTCGTCACTAGCAATCGCAGGGGAGGGAAAGCTTGGTGTAACTTGTTGTGCCCAAATTCAGCTTTCATAGGCGCTCGCGTTGCTTGCGAGCGCATTTCAACATTGCATTGACATAGAAGAAGCTTGATCTGGATTGGGGTTGTCTCATGCAAGATTTTGGGAGGCACCCTGCCGTGAATCCACCTGCAGGTCATTCATCTGGTGTTGACATCCTTCGACAAACACACTTTGATATGATAGAAAGCCTCACTCAGTGAAAAGACCCGAGATTGCTGCCCGTGACTCTTCATTTTTGTTACAAGTTGGTCATATAGGTTGCACGGGTATGGTTGCATGGGACCCCAATAGCGTGAGTGGTCTTTTGGCTTCAAACCAACCTGAACAGGGTAGCCGCCAAAGACACAAACCCGTATTCGGCAATGTAAGGTTGTGGCAGGTGACGGAGTTGATCCTCTGGGAGGGAGTGAACTTGTGTGTGTGTGTGTTTTTAGTTTTGAAGCCTTGGCAAGTCAGTATTTTAAGATTCTCAGATTGCCTGCTTGTAAGAAAGAAGGCACAGTGACACAGCTTTTCGCAGATGCCATCAGGTATTCACACAGCCATGCGCTACAATGGCTGGACCTTTGAGCAGAACACACGCTTGCGCCGGGAGCCAAGTATGGGTGTGTCTGAATCCCCCAGCCCCCATTTTGTTGGTGGGGTCCCTTTGGTTTTCCTTCGAGCGAAGAAAGCACCTCTGGACGGAGCCGTGGATGGCCCAAATCCTTGACGCAGAGCCTTTTTTGCACGGTCGTGAGCGTCAGAAAGTGATCAGGTGGTTCCGCGACCAGCAATGTCGATTTGCAGGATTGGCCAGACAAGGGAGCCTCTCGCAGTGGCCTTTGTTGAATTTAAGAATGTTTCAGGATTGGGACCCCCCAGAGGATTCGTTTCCGATGCCCTGCGAAGCGAATTCATGCAGTCTCTTGACACGGCGCCAGGTGCCAGTGACCTTTTTTGTGCTTTGTTCTTGGCTTTGAGCACTTCTGGGAATGAGAGAACCGTAGCCTAGTGCTTCTGGCTTCTTAGAGGTTGTTTGAATAGAAGCCTATTCAAAGTCTTTTTGCGGAACTTCTCAGTGAAGCTTCAGAGAGGAAAGGAGCTGTATGGACCCTTTTCCACTAAGGCATTGCAGCAATTGATGCTTTGCAATCCTGTCCAGAGGGTCATTTCCTGGGCGAGTATGGCTTCTCCAGCTTGCTGCGATAGCTTGACCTGGCAAATGCCCACTCCAGTCGCAATCAAGGAAACTGAGACCCATAGATTAGATGGCATCAGCCTGTTTGAATGAAAGGCCATCCTTTGGCTGACCACTCCAAGAAAAATCGCACTATGTGCCTTCACCCACTTGCATGTCTTTACTAGAGTAATCACTTCCCCCTATTAATAAAGGTCTCCCTAATAATAAATATTTGTTTCGGAAGTCCCAAATCCGGGAATACTACTTTTAGAATAGCCAATACTAAACCAATTCTAAAGCAGATATTTTCCTGCCCGTACTCAAATCCAGCCCATTAGGGGGACCCCGGGGGCACGTTTCCTTTAATTACTACGGCTGTACTACAAAGTTGCGACTTTCAGGCCAGAGCTCCGGGAGCACGTTTCCTTTACTACGGCTGTACTACAAAGTTGCGACTTTCGAGCCAGAGCTCCGGGAGCACGTTTCCTTTACTACGGCTGTACTACAAAGTTGCGACTTTCGAGCCTGAGCTCCGGGAGCACGTTTCCTTTACACGGCTGTACTACAAAGTTGCGACTTTCAAGCCAGTTGCTCAATCCAAAAAGGTTCCTTTGAGTGACCCAAAACCCACAACCAAAAACAACAAAACGTGACCTCAACTCCCGCTACTTAAATTCCTTACTCAGAAATGTGCGTTTGAAGCGATTTTACGGAACGGAACAGGGGGACCACAGTTGCAAACAAGCCTACACAGAACAAGAAGTACCTCCAAAACCTGCCCTCCAGAACCAGGGGACCCCTAATAATAAAAATTGTTTTGCAGGCCGGGTATTTTTTTTATTAGGGGGGGGGGGGCGTCGTTTATTATTAGGGGGAAGGGATTATTCATAACATAATTTATGATTTCAAATGAAATCATTGCGGCCATACGTCGCATACTCAATTTGTTTTTTTTTTGGCACCTGCCTTGCCTTTCTGCCTGCCATTGCAGTGAAGAACGACCACCATCTCAACCTGCAGTCGGCCAAGAATGGAGGCGTGATGGAGTGGGATGGAGTTCATTTATGTGCCATGCCAGGGTTGGGCCAATCCTTGAAACACGTTGGTATTGTTTCAACAACTTCCTTTGGTTTCCCGTAGGCGACCGGCGCTCGTTTAAGCCGATTTGGGCCCGACCTTGCGCGCAGCCCGTTTGGAAGTGCAAGGGGGGCACGGCGTAGCCAAGCAATCAGCCGGGATTTGAATATTGGCAGGGATGGTTATGAATGTCATCATCAACCTGTTCATGCGGGTTTCAATCAGATGTAAAAGCTCCTTGTGCGGGAACCATGACCATGTGCCACATAATGATGGCTCAACGAACGCAGCGCTTTGCATGCTTTCACTTGGCGCAAAGTACGCTTGAAATAATGTGTTCATGTTGGCTATTATACTCTTCTTGTGTTTGCTCAGCGCACATGTGAATGGCAAGATCCGAACTGGGCAAACTTGGGTCTCTTCTTGTATGTATATGCGTTGAATAACAACCCTGGAAAGGGACGCTCCTTTTTTAGTTGGGCTTTCGGATGCCCGTCAGAGACACCTTTCTGTTTCGAACACATGACCTTCTATTGCGCACACCAATGATCCTTACGTGAAGACTTTGTCTTTCTAGAAATGGACTGGAGGGGAGAGGGACTTAGATATGATTGCACACGCCAACTTTGAATGAAGATTCTGGCCCAACGTCGTCAGGCTTAGTCTTGAGTCTTAAGGACACTCGTTTGTGGATTACCTTCGGAGAACGAGTATCAGCTAAGAGCAGGTTGCATCCCTTTGTAGGGCAGATAAAGTGGTTGCATGAAGAAGCAGATGAACCGGTCGGCTTCATCCCTTTTGCATGGCTGTTTCTCACAGCACGTTTGAACAACTAGAGATATTTGTTGAGGGAATGTGCAGCACTACATGTCTTTGGTGTGTGTGTGTGTGTGAGTGTGTTCATAGAGAGTATCCGGGGTCTCCACGACCCTGCAAAACCAAGTTCATTCCCCATGGCATACGCAGGGCTGCTGCTGAGCTTCCAGGCCCCCAATTCTTTGCGCAGGACGGAAGTTTGGCTGGATCGTCCGGGTGCCCAACCGGGCACAACCTTTGCCATGTTGGTAGGACCACAAGTCACCGGGTTTTGGTCGCAGCTCATTTGGGTGAGTATTTGCTTGAGGGTACTCTCTTTGGGGGTTGGTGTGAATGGCCAAACGACCAATCCCCCATTTTTTCTGGGGCCACTGTTTGGGGCCGAGGAAGGGTCAAGTACACCAAGGGTGGTCGGTGAGTTTCGCTACTGAGCTCCCGAGGTCGGAAACCAAGAAACCTGTTTTTGGGGTCGTGCCAAAGGACAGGCAATGCATCCAAGATTCCGCGGGCCAACTGGCCATCGACAACTTTCCATTTGTTGGGATTTGTTCGTTCCTGGTTTTAAGAACATGTGCTTTGGTTCCTTAGTCACGTTTAGCTGCTCATATCTGAAATTCCCGTCTTTTCACAATTAAACCCGGGGGGGGGGGGGGGCCGATTCCGACCCATTTCCAGCAAACGACTTGGACATGATATAGCTTCGGATTGATCCGGAGGACCACATTAAATCCTAGAGGTGAACATACCCACGGTGACCTACAGTGATTTGCCTGTACAGCACTGCGTACAATTCCTGCTTTGGTGGAGATGATGAACTCGTTGACATAAAGCAGGTCGAGCTGCAACGCCTTCCGCACACCTCTTGGGCACGTGAACCTCCGGGATTTTGGGGCTGCGGTGTCTCCAAACTGAAGGTGGGAAATCCGCCCTTCCTTGGCTCTTCGTGTTTTGTTTGGCTGCAACACCCCAGCCTGTTTTGAGACACACTTGAAGTCACTCATGCAACCAAGCCTTGTCCCCGTTCATGATGTGAGGGGCTGGTTTCTCGCGGGTTTCCTTGCGTTTCGTTGGTTGTTTTTGCGGGTTTCCGGTTTGCTCTTGTGTCATGGTCTGCGAAGGTCGGTTCTTGAAGATACAAATTCCTTGGACGGCGCACGCCAAAGTGAGGCTCGCAAGGCGCTGGAGACGATCCCAGACTTTCACACGGCGCTGAGCTTGTTCAACGCCTCACGGCCAAACTCGATCTGCCGGATGGGGTTCCCCAACATTTGTGGGTGCGGGCATGTTTCTAGGTGCGCGGAAATTGTGTTTTTTTTTTTTGCCGTGCTCCCCACAAAGAATGATGCCTCACAAGAGTTCCCGTCTTTCACCAGGGTCACTGCCAACTGGTGACGGGACGGGTTTTGCCCGATATTTTTCCGTGATTGTGTTCCTGGGGTTTTGTCCACGACAACCAAGCCTCCACTTGTTTCTTTTGAGCCAGCTTCCTCACTGGCCGTTAAAATAAAACCTATACATGGTTGTCAGGAGAAGATCATATGGTGGGCAAGGTACTGTACATTCTGGATAAGTGCCAGACTTGCACGTCCTCTCGCGCACATGATACAGGCATCAGAAGTAAGCATGCACTGGTCTTTGCAAGCGCCCTGCGGGTTGCATGCTCGTTCACCGATTGCCAAGCCCGTCCATTCATACATGGCTGTGGGTCAAAACCAATGGTACCATTTTGGGGTAGGTGCACCACCCCTTTTAGTCTATGAGGGTTTTCATGTCCACCCACGTTTGCGGGGCTTGGTAATAGCGACTGGAGCTTCGTTGGCGCCTGAGGGCACGAAGTTCATGGCACCGCAGTACTTCATTATGGCTGGCGCGGGGGACTATGAAGGCGTCTCTCGGATCGGATGGCGCGTGAGTCCATCAACTTACCAGACTGGTGGTTGAAGTAACTATCCAGACCTTCACAAGTGCCTTAATACGCCTTGTGTTTCCTTTTTGTTGGAGGTTGTTCAAGGCCTACGCGCCTTTTCGCACGTGGCCTTCACTTGAGGTTAGGGTCCGCGGAGTCTTGAGGTCAGAGATGCCATGGCAAGCCCTGACGTGCGACGCGTCAAAATAGGGATTTGTCATCCCCCAACAACATTGGGGTTTTGCTTTGGGTTTCCCTTTGCACAAGCATCAAAATGGTACCCTTAAAAGCAAGCACGCAAAAAACCGAACAAACAAAAAAAGAGCAAGCAAGCAAACAAACAAAACAACCAAACAAACAAACAAACAAACAAACAAACAAGCAAGCAGCCAGGCAGAGAGGTAGGCAGGCAGGCAGGCAAAAGCAAGCAGCAAGCAAGCAAGCAAACGAACAAACAAACAAGCAACGCACGACCGACCGAACGAAAAACCAACTAGCCAACCAAACAAACAGACAATCACACAAACAGAAGCGCGCACACAGACACGCAAACACATTCACAAACAAACTAAGAAACAAGCAAACAAACAAACAAACAAACAGCCAAACAACCAACCAACCAACCAACCAACCAACCAACCAAGCACACGTACACGCGCAAACACGCACAAACACTCACACAAGCAATCACACACACACACACAAACACACATAAGCACACACACACACTAACAGGCAAACACACTAATAGGCAAACACACACACACAAACACACACACACAAACACGCAAACACACACACACAAGCACACCAGCAGGCACAGACACACACACACACAAAACAAACACACACGTACACGACAGCAAAAACACAGAAATACAACAAAACACACGCACACACACACACACCTAAACACAAACACACGAAAAGACACACACACACACAAACACACACGCAAAGAAAGCACAAACACAGGCACACAACAAACCACCCAACCAAACAAACACATACACAAACAGACACAATCACGCAAACAGACCAACAAACAACCAACACAACACAATCACACATAAACACACCAACAGGCACAAACACACACACACACACCACACACACACGCACCAACACGAACACACAAAACAACACAAAAACAAGGCACAAACACACAAACACACAAACACTAAACGAAACACAAGCACACACACACAAACAATCAAAACACAAACGCACACCCACACAGCAACACACAACCACACAAACAAACACACAAGCAAAAACACAACAAAACACCTCAAAACACCAAAACACAACAAAACACCAAAACGCAAAAAAAAACACACAACCACACAAACAAACAAACACACCCACACAAACACACACACACAAGCAAACAAAACACACTGAAGCACACAACTACACACAAAACACAAACACACACACACAACACAACGCACACACACAAGCAAACACACACTCAACAAACACACAAACACACACACACACAACAAAACACACGACAACACACACACAATCACACAAACACTCAGCAAAACACAAAGCACGCAAACACAAACACATAACAAATCCCGCAAATCTACGAGCACACAAGAAAGCGCACAACCACATACACACACACACACACACCCGCACTCGCGTACTGAAGCACACACAAAACACAAACACAAGCACACAAAACACACTGAAGCACACAACTACACACAAAACACAAGCACACACACACAACACAGCGCACACACACAAGCAAACACACACTCAACAAACACAAACACACACACACACACAACAAAACACACGACAACACACACAATCACACAAACACTCAGCAAAACACAAAGCACGCAAACACAAACACATAACAAATCCCGCACATCTACGAGCACACAAGAAAGCCCACAACCACATACACACACACACACCCGCACTCGCGTACTGAAGCACACACAAATCACACAAACACAAGCACACAGGCACACAAACACACAACTACACACAAAACACAAGCACACACACAACACAGCGCACACACACACAAGCAAACACACACTCAACAAACACAAACACACACACACAACAAAACACACGACAACACACACACACAATCACACAAACACTCAGCAAAACACAAAGCACGCAAACACAAACACATAACAAATCCCGCAAATCTACGAGCACACAAGAAAGCGCACAACCACATACACACACACACACACACCCGCACTCGCGTACTGAAGCACACACAAAACACAAACACAAGCACACAAAACACACTGAAGCACACAACTACACACAAAACACAAGCACACACACACAACACAGCGCACACACACACAAGCAAACACACACTCAACAAACACAAACACACACACACAACAAAACACACGACAACACACACAATCACACAAACACTCAGCAAAACACAAAGCACGCAAACACAAACACATAACAAATCCCGCACATCTACGAGCACACAAGAAAGCCCACAACCACATACACACACACACACCCGCACTCGC